TCCTATCTAGAGCTGATGGGAGTTCCAGATAAACAGTACATGGAGATCCAGATAGTCAGTACATCTGCAATACACAGGGATGGTATTGGTTCTTTTGGTTCTTTTGCCTCAGAACCAGCTTTCTATATCTTTAAATCAGCAGTTCTTCACAATTCTGTATCCAGCCCAGTTATAAGAATAAAGCACATTCTCACATGACCATGACTTCAAGGAATCTTCCCATAAAGTTATATATAGACACTGACTATGTCAGATCTTTTCAAGACACTTCTTAATTTACTTAAAATGAGTTTTGGCCCCAGAGCAGAGGGATGGAGTGTTCTGAGCCAGTAAGTGACTTTATTCTATGCCAACACATTGTTTTCCATTACTTTTTTAGCATTAAGAAATTGATCTTGCTTTAAAAAGGATTTTACGACACTGCTTAAGATCCCATATAATCTTAACCAACCTAGTGGAATACTGAAAGCAATTACTGGGATTTTTCATATAGTAAGCTTGAGCACTGTCTCAACAAGAAAAACAGGCTAGATTAATGCCACATTTGGTAGAATAATACCCTGAAAAACTAGGAACCACTCTTGAACTTCAACTTCAAAGCTTAAATGTAGAAGTTTGATTTAGTCTATGATCTCTCACTTGGAAAACAGTGTCATGCAGCTATTACTTCGTTCCTGTTTCCTAGAGTTATATCTTAGGCAAATTCCCAGAGGTAAGGGATAATTCTGAGTTTATAGTTTTAATACTTTAAGCTTTCATAATTTTTAACACAGATTTGTGGTAGTGAACTAGAGGAAAATTCACTACATAGTAGGTTTTATTTCTTTTACCTTCCTGTGATAACTCAAAATATGGGACTGAATAATCAATAATTTTTCAGCTTACACATGCCAATGAATTTCTGAATTTAGTAAGTGCTTTGTGACTTCGGCTTTTAGATAAATTATAGACGTCAGTAGGGTATGACCAATGCAACCTTAATGTTAAGCTGTGACCCCCATGATTAAAAAAAGCACAGAAAAACAGAGGCAGCATGCAATTTAAGTGCTGGTATCATTCTTTAATGGCATTAAGGCACAATTATATCTAGATTAACAATGAATCCGGCCTTAATATCCATGATGTTAATAATCTTTTGGACTCCAACCCAATTTCTGGAAATTTAAACAGGCAAAAAGCATATCAGTGTCCTCCAACAAGCCAAAGGTGTACCCAAACTTGTTCAGAAAACAAGGCTAGAAAAATATTTACATACTCAGCAACAATACTAATGCTTTTTAAGCTCTGAATAACCAAGTGCACAGGATTTTATGAGCCCTTGCAATGTGTATTACTCAAGGTATATAACAGTATCATCGGACAACCGTGCAACTAACCTGTGAACAAGGGAAGACTCATGTCTGAAGAAGTGGGCTAATAAGGTCCACAAAAGCTTACATTAAAATATAATAGTCTTTAAAGTATTCACAATGCTTTTGGCTTTTTTTTATTTTTGTTTTTGTTTTTGGCCTGAAATGTTTGCACAGACAAACACAGCTACCTCTTCTAAAACTTCCAGAATTAGTAGAGCTAAACAAGAGTTTACTTCATTTTGTACCATTTTTCTGTAATACTCCACAAAGCAGCACCTAATTCTTACCATAACTTCATATGCCTTTTAAAGCAAAACTAACACACTACAATGTAGTTAATGATTCTGTTTAAAGACCTAGAAGAAGAACCCAATCATTCCATAAAGCTGGGAAATTCCTAAGGAAATTCCTCAGGACTAACTTGTTAACCTACCATTGCAAAGAATGAGACACATAAGTTGGCATTTTATTTATTTATTTTTTGAAAGCTGAAAGGACCGGATTTGTTAGTTTATCCTACTAGTAACCCCTTAACTGCAGCAGGAGCAATGTTCAGCAAAGCAGAACAAAGTTTAAGACTGTGCAACTAATTGACTTAAGTACAGACAGATTATGTCCAAATGGTTCCCAAAGCAACAGTGTATCCTCTTCCTTCCTATGTGTTTTCCCGTGAAAGTCTGAGAGATCTTTCCTGGCAACAGATCTTTTGCTCTCCCTCTCACTTTTGGCCTCACACACTGTCTCTGAATATTGAAACATGGGAGAGTAATGCCTTTGGAGTCACAGCTAAATTCTGTTTGTTGACAACAATGTAACCTAATGGATGTGTGAAGGAAGAACTGCTGATGTACCATGTGCAAGACCCACAGACGCCTGACAATCAGTCAGTCAGTCAGTTTTTATTGTTTTGATCACTTTGGTCGTCCAACTTCCACAAATTTAAAACATAGGCATAAATATAAATATATGCACATGCTTGGAGCCAGCTGAACATCCACAGAGCTAGCAAATTAAAAAGTACAAATACAAATATATACTTTCTGCAAAATGCTGGATTAAAAACATAATACAAGAGGATTAAAATGTACACATATTTCAATTTTAAAAGCCAAGTCATTTCAGGTGGTCACAACATAAAAAAAATTATTATAGCCAATGGCCATTAAAACCATGAACATATACATATACATTAAAATGCACAATAAAATGATATAACAATACTAAGGTTGTACATCTGATAACTACATAGACTCTAATCAGTTTTATATTCTATAAAAGTACTTCCTATTCTATCCTTATTATTTAGCCAGTTATTCCCTTAGGTTTATTGCCAGCCGTCCAAATTTGGCCACTCTGTTTTTTACTCTTTATTTTTATTCTCTATCCACAGACGCCTGAGTTTAGGCTTCTTAGACACAGCGGTATCAAATTACTCTAATACATGAGAATTCAAGAAGCGTCCCATCAATACAAAGCCACTCTGCTGAAAGGCAGTTCACCCTAACCCAGGGGATCCATTCACTTTCCACAAGGAGAGGAACCGATGAAAAGCTGTCAAAGTAAATCTATGCTCACTTTTTGGATGGTTTAACGTCAATGGAGCATGCAAACACCCCAGCATGGCTCATAAGCTCAGTCAAGCATGCTGTTCTCCCTAATATATTTTAATTATGCATCTGCTTCAATTGTAATCAGATTAAGTCACCAGAAAAAAAGGCACAAATTGGAATTTTCTCTAATTACTAAAAGAGCTTTTCATCAGTTTTCTAAACACGGGTCCATTTAAGGAAAGGTAGAGACACCAGCCCAACTGTGGCATTTTCTGGATATCAATGCAGTTTTTTCAACAACATAGTTTCACAACACTCATTAGCTACCCAAGCTCAAAAGAGACCATTCAAGCCCTGGGGGCTACAACTTTGCTAATCAGCATACAAGAATGTTGCATATACAAACTAAGAAGCACAACAGAAATGCTTTCACAACCATTGCTCACCATATATTTAGAGGACAATGTACACACATGCTTCCCAAAACATTAAAACACTGTCACTGTGTGATTTTCAAGCAAGCACTGCCCCTGTGAGTAAAGTTAGAGCAAAGGTTCTCCTAGAGCTTAATTTCAGCCTAGGCTCAACACAGTCTATCTCCTGAGCACCTTTTGCCAATGCCTGAGCTTCTCCTACAGGACTAACTAAAAGCATGCACACAATGTCTTTTCTTCTCTGCCTTTTAACCTCAAAGATCACAACTGCATCTCTGGGAATGCAATGTAAAAGCTCAGAAACTGGACAGCCCGGAGTCTTGTTTGAAAGCCCCAGTTCTTTCCTAGTTAAAAAGGGATTGCATCTGCAGTCCCTTAAACTCTTGCTACACCATGTCAATGAGAGTTTAAGGAAATGTCATAATAATAACTGCACATTGTCCAATCAATTCTGACTTATGGTAATCCTTTCCAAGGTTTTCTTGGTAGAGAATTACACAGAAGTGATTTACTATTCCCTTCTTCTGGGGCTGCCCTGGGACTGTGCAGCTCGTCCATGGCTACACAGGCTGGCTCTATTTGCAGAAGGCAGGGTGGGGAATTGGATTCCCAACCTCTGGGTCCGCAACCGGATATATAAACCACTGAGCAATCCAGCCAGCTATAAGGAAATGTCAAATGCTCTGGAAACAAGAGAAGCAAGAGGAATCTGTCCAAGAAAGTGTTCTCCTGTGTGCCTGGATGGATAGGAAGCGCTTGTGTTCTATTTCTGGGTTTTGGTGATTTTTTTTTCACTCTTTTTCCAACCCATATGTAACATCATTTAACGGGCTGCTCTTAGGTTGCAACTTTGAAAGCAGGAAAAGCTTCA